AAAATATGAAAATAAAATAATACATTAAAATTGATACAATATTTATACAATAAAATAAATACTAATTGTAATAAATAAATATTTATAGATAATATAAGAGATATAGCGAAGAGATATAGCGAAAAAAAACATGACGCAAATATAATTATTACAACAGATGAGTTATCTTTGCATTTGAAAATATATAGCAAATTGATAAGCAGCACACATTGTTTACATGTAAGTAATAGATAAAAATATATAATAAACAAGTGACTTTTAAAACAATAATAATTTTGTGTAATATTTATATTAATGTAATAGATTCTATATGAGTGATAAAGAAGCGTCTTCCTCATTATTGCAAGAAATAACATTAACTGATGAAAATAAAAATATTTTACCAGAAATTATTTGTAATTCATCGAAAAGTACAAGAAACAAAACTTTGTATAGTGAAATTTGTATAGTGAAATGTTACGCAAACATGACAAGTTTTACAGAGAAAAGTGAAACCAAAAAATGAACGAATTGCTGCCATAAGCAATATTTCGAATAGGTTGAAAGAAACAAACGCTAAAAGTAAATTAATATTCTTCAAACACTTTTATAAATTTTATTTCTTTAAATACAATTTTTTTGTGCATTACGAAAATAATTTTTATATTGTAGGTTCAACATGACAAGGCAATTAATACATCGTCTTTTTTAGCAATAAGAAAATACACGCCATTAGAAAATCAACTCAGGACAAAGAAACGAGTATTTTTCCAAGGAAATTATGGAAATCTCCGACAAAATGTGCAATTAGAAAAGAAAAGAAGAAAAGAATAAAAAGAAATATATAACTTACGTAAAAAGTTTGCAGAAAAAGATAAGAGCAAAAACCCTTAATAATATTTTGAATAAAATGAAACAAAAAAAATTTCTTGATGATAAACAGTATGAAACATTACATTTGATAAAGCAAATTTAGAATTATTTCAAAGTCTTGTAAACTTGCCGGTGTTTCTATGCCTAAACAATATTCTCCAGAATTGCGAACTTTTGTATTGACTTATACTATTATTCTCCCCGTGCATATAAATATGTAAGAAATAAATTCCATAAATGTTTTCCTCATTCTAAAACATTGAGTGTATAGTACACATCTATTAATGGTTCTCCGGGTATTAATATTGAAGCTTTGAATTGCATAAAAGAGAAAGCTGCTTTAGTCGATTTTTCATTATATGTTTGCATAACATTTGATGAAATGGCTATTAGACAAGAGATTGAATATGATGGCTCTAAATTTTATGGTTATATCGATTTTGGATCTGATTCCAATCATACACTTATTGCTAAAGAGCATTAGTATTTTTATTAATATACTTAAATCAAAACTGGAAAATTTCCATCGCCTACTACTTTATTAAAGGTATAAGTGCAGAGGAAAAAAGAAATCTTTTGTTAAATTATATTTCCGTAGTGCATCGATATAAAAGTAGTTACTGTTACTTTTGATGGTCTTAAAATCAATTTTAGAATGGCATGTTTATTAAGAGCATATTTTAATATCAATTCTTTCCAAATAGTTCCATCTACCGAATACATCAAACAAGATCTTTATTTTCTCGGATCTAAGTCATTTAATAAAAATGATTCGTAATGTATTCGAAAAAAAAGGCATGATGGATGCAATGGATAATACAATATCACGGCAATATATTAAAGAGCTGCATTTGTTACAAGAAAAAGAAGGTTTGTATATTGCAAACAAACTTCGATCCATATATATTAACAGAAAATGAAAGTACGTTTGGCTGCACAAACGCTTAGCAAATCAGTAGCAGATGCCATGCAGTTTTATAATACATTAAAATTATCTCAATTTAAAGAATGTGAAGCTACAATTTATTTTATTCGTTTAATAAACGATTTATTTGATATTTTTAATAGCCGAAATATGAAACAGTATGATTATAAGGCATCAATTAATTCTAATAATAGAGATATTATATATGCAAAATGAAATGAATGTTTTAAATATATTTGCGATTTAAAAGAAAATCGACATGGAAAGCTATTGTACATTAATTCAACTAAAAAATTGGATTTTTAGGTTTTTGAATCATAATTAAAAGTTTAATGGGATTATACGACATGCTTTGCGAAGAACTAAATTTTTCGTTACAATATATTGGCATTTATAAATTAAGTCAAGATCACTTAGAACTTCTTTTTAATATTATAAGACAGCAATTTGGACAATCCTAGTGCAAAGCAATTCTAAAGTGCAATTAAAAAAATTTTGCTTCATTTGGAGTTGAAAGAAGATTCTGGAAACTGCATTCCATTATCAAATATAAATATATTACATTTTATCTCTTCATTAAACTCAATTGCGATAATAAATAAAACCGCTAATAATGATAATGAAAAATCGACATTAGTAACTGATGAATCAGACTGTGATAATAAATACTTACAAATAAATAATATTGCATTGTACTGTGATAAAAACTCGTAAATAATTACGAGATTCTCTCACAGTATTACATCATATTGTAGGCTTCGTAATGCATTTTTTGACCAAAAAAATTAATTGTACACAATGTGTACAATCGCTTTGATAAAATTCCAATCGAATTTCGATCATGATTTAATTTCCATAAAAAATTAAAGGAGGTTTACTATATCCTTCAAAAGATGTAATAATCTGTATGTGAGATTTGTGAAAAATATATACGAATAGCTGTTATGGAAAGTAATTTACCTGTATTACCTCCAAAATATTATATAATGTTCATTTCTTTCTTATTAAAATTTTAAGTTATTTTATTGAAAATCATACCATATTTTCAAAACTAAACGAACATTTCAGCAAATTAGAATCGATAATCATATTATTCATTTGATTCGAGCAATTGCTACTAAATGTATAAAAATTCGTTTGCAATATATGTATAAAAATGCAAAAGATCTTAGTCAGAGCGATCAGCATTATTTTAATAAAATACTCTTATTTAAAGGTCAATAAAGATATTTTTATTGTTTTTTGAATGAAATTATTAAATTAAAATTATTTATACATTCTAATTATATGGTTATATGTTACATGTTATATGTATCTAATTGTATGGTTACATGTGTTTTTTATTTGTTTCATTTATTTATTTCATTATAAAAAAGTTTATCATATATGTAACAAATTTATTATTAATTTAATTTTTATTTTGTCATGAACAATAAAACTTCAGCTTTTGTTTTATTTACAAAGTTTATCAGGTAACAAATTTATTATTAAGTTAAATTAATTTTATGTCATGAATAATAAAACTTCAGCAAATTAGTTTCTCTTTGTTTTGTTTATTCCTTTAACATTAAGCTTCTTTTCTCTCTCCCTCCTCTCTTTCTCTCTCTTTCTCTCTCTCTCTCTAATTTATTGTATTTATTGTATTTTTTTAATTGATTTTCCATTTCTACATTCGCAGATATATTATATTGCATAACACAATATATTCGTTACTCTTGTAATATAAATACATACATAATATATGTACACATACGCACACACGTACGCACACACACATATCGTATTTATAAATATTATTTATGAATTTTCCATTCTGTGTTTCATCATTATTTTATGACGTGCTTTGATAAGCCACATCAATATGGTGCTCATTGTTTTCCCCTTACATCTGCTTAACTAGGCTACACGGGGAATATTCTCTCTCTTGTTATTTCTTACTTCCATGATTACAATAGTGCACTACTCGTTAATGTCAATAGTGGCATTATTGCATTAATAGTGACACTATTTGTTCCAGCAGTAGCACTTGTATGTACATTACTGTACTAGTAGTGTTATAACTCATCCCAATAATGATACTACTAGTAACACTAACGTGAATTTATAATTACACTTTTACATTATTAGTCATGAGTATCATTATCATATTAGTAGTGACACTACTATATTTCAGTAGCTAGTGTAGTAGTAACACTACTACACTAGCAGTGACACTAATAATATATTTTTGTGCGGAAAACGTAGCTAAACGTAGCAACACCTAGTAAATATAGCGATAAAAATGTCGATCGGAATGTGTCAGAAACGATGACATATTGAATATTAGTTTCTCGTTTCTTGAGTCACAGCTATGAGGGCGTCAACAAATGCTGGTAACAGAAAAACCAGTTTAGTGACCCTGGTCAGATTGCTATTCGTCAATTTTGATCATGTGATCTGTTTTTAATGAATAGTAAACTCACAATGCTTGATGCTCATCGTTTGACGCTTCGACATATTCGTTTAGGCCTAGTTTACAATCAGTCAGGAGACATTGTTATATGTCATGCCGTAAAAAATTAACCAATCATGGTCAATTGTTTCTTTCCATGTGACAGCCGACAATCGAATACGCATATGTTCGATATCCGATGTCGATATACGACGTATTGTAGAACAGGCAGTGGATAGCGCATCCTCTGCTTTCTTATCTGCTGGTTATATGACTTAAATTTACCGAATGGATCTTTGCATGAATAGCTATTCGTATTGAATCGTATCTTTCAATAGAAAATCTGGAAAAGCTGAGGTGATTGAAAATTAAGGCCCAGGGACGCGATTCTGTAATTGTTTTACATTCCTACCGACAGTTGTCGGTGCGCAGATTTTCATCACATAAAATATCTGCACAACGACATTGGCAACTATCGATAGGCATGTAAAGACAATTATGGAATTGCGTACAATTACGGAATCGTGATTGATTAATACAAGTTACGCTGCATGTAAAAGCAGTCTGAGAAAAGGGGTCAAAAAAAAGAATGAGGAACTGAAATATAACAGCTTACAGTCAGATCGGCAAAGAGAGTCTTATATGTGTTCCTTAAGAGTCTCACGATGATTGTGAATTGGGACGAACGTGTTTCATCTTGAAATTTTTGTTAGTCAGATTAGCCTGCCGAGCTTTTTCGCGTTTTTGATCCCCTCTCTCAGAAATATACTTTATATACTTTATACGCAGGCGCGAAATAAGAGAGAACGTGAGCCAAGTAAGGGGTTTCGCATAATAAAAAGAACAGAGAACAAAGAACAGAGAATAAGTATTTCTATAGGGTTATAGGGTCCTTACTTAGAAACTGTGTATTCCGCAATACATGATTTTTGATAGATTGATAGATTGATCTTATTCTTTGTTTTCTGTTCTCTGTTTCTTTTATTGTGCAGAATCCCTAAAGCTTTATATTATTAAAGTAACGCATTTCTTTTATCTTGGCGACAGCTTTCCTATTGGCTATTTCACTATTTTGAACCTAGTTGTCTGTAGTTCAATAAGCGCTTAGTATATGTATTTTGGTACATAGTTATCTAAAGTCACTAGATTTACAAAGTACCGCGAACTGCCGCTATTTTGGGTCCATAACATGCGAATTCAAAACTTTAATCTCTTTCCAGGCCCCTATGGATTTTGCGACCTTTTAATAGAATCAGGTTAGGATAACATTTCGACACCATTTTGGCTCCAAATGCTAATTTAGTGAATTTTCTCATCGCGGTATTTTGTTAATCTAGTGGTTTTAGTTATTCCTATGTTCATGATGTTGGTATATGGTAAGGTTAGTAGGTCCAATATGACGAACTTTAATGCGTAACTTTAGTAAAATAGAGCTAAAATAGAACTTTAGGGTCAAGTGAGTATGTTTTTTTTTAAATGAGGGTTACACAAGGCAGTAAATATTCGCATCAGCCATTTTTAGTCCTTTCCTTAGTCTCCTGCTCCTTTCCTCAATTCCTTGCTTTTTTTCCAATCTACCACTAAATTAAGAAGATTGAAGAGAGAACAAAGAATGGGGAAAGGACTAAAAATGATGGTTACAATTTTCATAAAAAAAGAGGAGATAATGTTAGTAGCAACAATAATCCTTGAGGCATCATAGTTTTATTTTCTATGGATTGGTAACATTTATAAATAGTAATCCGTTAGTTTACGTTGATCGTGATCGATTGAGTGTAAAAGTAGTGTAATACATGATAATTCGTGAATTGTTCGTGAACAGCTATCATCGCGGAGATTTTATGTTTTGACATTTATGTCTAGAGGACATTTATGTCAAGAGATTAACGTCTTCGAGATTACTCACAATCAGATAAGTTTCATTGTATTTTACAAAACCTTTATTTTTACTATTTCAATAAATCGATACTTTGTAAGATAGATTTGTTAATTCTATATGAATTATTAAAACTTCGAAAAAACAAGATTAATTAATAAATATTAATAGTTTTCGGCTGTTTAATGACTGTTTTAATAAATATGTAATAGTTGTTTCGCAAAAATTGAGAGGCAATCTATACATCAAATTGATAATAAAAAATATGTTATAAATGGAAGATATATGAGAAGTAAACAACAAAACTTATGAAAAACTGTAATTCCTTTAATTTCCACAAATTTTATATTTTATTTCTCATGACTTTTGTGTTTCATTTTACATATCATCTTGATCAAAAAGTTCTCGGAATTACCACCAGGTGATGCTCTGAGTCAGCTGATTAGAGTTCTGTTTATTTTTTGGTTAGGTTACCACATCTATCATTGACATTCTCACCAAATTTTATCACCATAGCTTGATATTTATAAAAGTTACGCTGTCTTGAGTACATCTACCTCTGCACGTATTTTCGATTTTTTACAGTTTTAAAAATGGAGTTGAATTTGCAACAATGAATTTGTATTAAATTTTGCGTTAAAAATGGATTCAATGGTATGAAAACCTTGGAAATGTTGGGAAACTGCGATTTTTTTCTATTCGATCGAGTCAAAAAATCATTATGGGGAACGCGTTTTAACAGCCGAAAGGAGGTAATGGAAAAATCGAAGACGGCTCTGATGGCTACCGACAATAGAGTTTCAGAAATGTTTCGAGAGCTGGATCAAGCGCTGGCATAAGTGCGTTGCAGTCGATGGGGAGTACTTTGAAGGGGACAATATCACTTTTGATGAATAAAACTTGTATTTTGAATTTTCTGAATGAATTCCGGGAACTTTTTGATCAAAGCAGTATATTTATGATCATTTGATTTTGTTGTATATACTGCATCTCTCATATCTTTATTTTTGTAAAAAGTTTGCAAGACACCTGTTAAGTCCTTTCTAATCCTTTATATAGAAGTTCGTTATAATTAATGCAAGACATATAAAGGGCTGGACATGTATTTGAAATACTTTTATTTGAAAAATATATTTTCGTAATATAGTTATATTTTATATTTTGTATTTCAATGGAGCACATGAAAGTATTTTATATGTATAGTATTTCAAAGAGCATATAAAAATATTTTGTACTTTGTGTTTCAAATACTAAGATTGACAATCAAGCTTATTATCTGAACAATAGAATATTTCAATCGAACAAAAAAATATTTCTATGTTTCAATTTTGAATGCTTTTATATGCTTCGCTGAAATCTAAAATACAATTGTATTGAGTATGGGAAAAAGTTCGTGGCGATTTTTTAGTAAAATTAAAGTGTTTTTCTTAGAGTATTGAAATCAATTTATTTAAACCAAATATGCTCCATTATTTTCTATAATATTTTGCCATTTTTGGGGCAGAGCCATAATTCCATCGCGATAGAACTTCTATGGTTTCTAATCGAAAAACTGCTTCAAGTGATTTTCACAGGCCTCTTTTGAAGCTAGCTTTACACCATTAAGAGAGTTCTGCAGAGACCTAAACAAATGATAGTCTGAGTGCTATGTCAGGACTATATGGATGCATTAAAACTTCCCAGCCAAGTTCTCACAATTTTTGCCGAGTCATCAAAGATATGTGTGGTCGAGCGTTGTCGTGATGGAAGACGACACCTCTCCTATTGATTAATTCTGGCCGCTTTCTCTCAATTGCTTGTTGTAATCTCTGCAGTTGTTCACAGTAGAGTTCAGAATTAATTGTTGAATTGGACGATAATAGCTCATAGTGAACGATTCCCTTCCAGTCCCACCACATACACATCACCTTCTTCCTCGTCAATTCAGGTTTTGCGATTGCTTGCGCCTTTTTTCTTTATCCACGATCTTTTTCTAGTTGGATTGTCGTAGGTGATCCATTTTTCATCACCAGTTATCATTCTCTTCAGAAATGGCTCAATTTCATTCTGTAGCGTATCACAAATGTTAATTCGGTCCATCATGTTCCTAACACTCAACTCATGAGGAACCCAAACATCAAGCTTCTTTTTGTATCCAGTTTTGTGTAAATGATTTAAAACTGTTTTGTGATCGATGTCTAGTTCCCTGGCAATCTCTACAGTGCTCACTTATCACGCTCGACTTTTACCATGATTTCATCGGACTTTTCAGTGATTGATCGTCCGGAGCGAGATTCATCTTTCACATCGAAATTTCCAGCACGAAAGCGAGCGAACCATTTCCATGCTGCTGATTTTGATAGAGTATCTTCATCATAAATAGCGCAAATTTTTTCACAGGCCTGTGCAGCATTCTTGCTTTTATCGTAGTGATACTGCAAAATGTAGCGAATTTTTTCCTTATTTATTTCCATTTTCAAAATAAAATAACTTTTGATCCACTTCACCGATTTCAATCTTTTTCGGCTCAAAACAAAGATTAAAACTCACTTTTTAAACACACATCTAGTGTTGCTGATGCGATTAGTAGTTGCCGACTGCTGAGTATTTAATGCTATCTAGCGGGAAAAACGCCACGAACTTTTTCCCAATATTACAAATATTATGACAAATTGATTGCCATTGCCAATAGCATCCTTAGGACTGTTGTCAGTAATTATGCACTGATTTAGATTTAGATTGTGTTTCCTTCTATATCTCTTTTTCTTTTCTTCTTTTTCCTCTCTTTCTCTTTTTAATTTTCTCTTCTAATTTTCCTTTCTTTTCAATCCCTTTTTTTCTATGCACAATTTAACTCCGTTGATAATGTTAGATCGAAAACCAATAACTGAAAATAAAATATAACACAAAACACTATTGATTTTTTATGAAATAGTCAGAATAAAGGTTTGTAATGAAAATATTTAATGAAATACTTATCTGAGTAATCTCGAAAACATTATTAACCTCTTGATACACATAACTATCAAAACACGAACTTCCGCGATGACAGCCGTTCATGAATTATGATGTATTATATTACACTACTTTTACTCGATTGGCCACGATCGACGCAAACTAACTACTTATAAACTACTATTACTACTTATAAATGTTACAAATCCGTAGAGAATAAAACTATGGTGCTTCAAGGATTTTGTTGCTACCAACATTACCCCCTCTTTTTTTTATGAAAATTATGTAACCAAAAATGACGGATGCGAATACCTATATTATAGTGCTCTAACTCCACTTCTCGAATGCTCGGTTTAGAGATACTATAGATTTATTCGCGTCGCATGCTCCAAATTAATCCAGAGAGCACTTGGATCACAGGTAAGATGGCGATTGGAGCAGTTGCATTCATGTGCTCCGTTCGGTGACACGAAATGAATTTAGGACAAGTGCATATCACCTAACTTAATCTGTGAGATCTCTCGAACGGGTCGGACATGTGCTTCGTTTCGTTTCGGTTATTTTGTGTTACCTCCATTTGAAAAGCGTTTTTATACAAAATAAGTGCATTTTTAATAAATATAAAAGTTATAAATTAAAATGTTGAGCCTTTTTTAAAAAACGAGCAAATATAGTTAATTAATAAAATTCAGCTTTTATTACATTCGTATAATACTATAAATTTCAAACGTTCCGACTTACAAAATCTTCATCAGTGATAATAAAGAAAACGTATTTATATAATCCCATCCAAGTCGAAACGTTTGAAATTTATAGCGTTACGAATGTAATAAAAAACGAATTTTATTACATTCGTATAACGCTATAAATTTAGTTAATTACATTTATTCGTTTTTTTAAAAAGCCTTGACATTTTAACTTAT